AGAGATATAATGCATATCCCAATGTCTTAGTTCACTGAGTTCCAGTCATTGCACTCAGCACTTCATATACATTTTCCAGTCCTTAAAGCAAGCAACCTAGTATCCTAAGGAGAAACAGTAATTGGGATTCAAAACTATGGACCAGCTTTGGCCTCTCTCATAAAACAATTTCATCTCCACCTTCAACTTTACAATGAATCCAGGGATGTCCCTGGCAGGCCAGTGGTTAAGACTCCCCACTTTTCCCTGCATGGGGCAGGATGCCTAGTCAGGAACTAATATCCCACATGCCTCGAAGCATGGCCAAAATAAGTAAATAAGACACCTACATTAAGAAAATAATGAAATAAAATAAATCCAAATAAATAATTTTTGTAGAACCATCAAACCCTATACCAGAAGAAACCTTCGAGGTCATCAAAACTGATTTTCTATTTCTTGATTTTTTTTTTTTAATTTTAATGTGATCTTAATGCAGAGCTGGTGTGGCTCAGACAGTAAAGAATCCGCTTGCAATGTGGGAGACCTGAGTTCAATCCCTGGGTTGGGAAGATCCTCTGGAGAAGGGCATGGCAACCCACTCCAGTATTCTTGCCTGGAGAATCCCACGGATAGAAGAACCTGGAGGGCTCCACTCTATGGGGTTGCAAAGAGTTGGACAAGACTGAGCGACTTTCACAAAACAATGCAGACCTACTCTCACTATATTATGGTGCTTTCCCCTCATTTCCTTTGTCACCAAGTCTTTATTATCTGGATTCCTTGCCTTTCTGTTATTTCATTTTGACTTTGTATCGTCCATTCTGATCTTTGCCACTTCTTTTCTGATATTACCTTGGTTACCTTTTTTTCACTCATGGAGATTTTATCTACCTGTAATAAGAAAACAATAATGTCCATGAAAGATACTATTTCTAATGCCATGTATTTTGGAATGGTATTTCCTAAGGAAACATATATACTGTATTTGTGTGTGTGTTTTATATATTAACTCTGTCCAATCAGTGGAGCTTTGTATATATGTTGGGGGAAGAGAAGACAACAAAATAACAATTATAATAATAATCCATGTGCTCTTGCTGACAGCAGGGTGTACTAAGCAGAGATAGGCAGACATTTTCATACATTTTCATTTATGTCTTTCATTTATAATACATTTCATTCATTATACATTTCATTTATAATCTTACATAAATCATAATTTTAATAAGGGTAAAACAAATATAATTTTGGTGTGTTAAACCGCTGTTACAATATGTAATTAAAAGTAATTCCTTTTTCATCTTCAATTTTTATTTTCAGCCTTCAGAAATGATATTTAATGAAAAGAGCAGAACAAACAAAGTAATAACACCAAGCAACTTTTTGCTTTGAAAAATGGAATGTTCTTCCCCTCTTTTTATCTGTCTGTCAAATAGCTTACATTTATTAAGTTCTGGTCAGAATATTGTCCTGGGTGCCAAGGGACATTGCTAAGGAAATTGAAATCTTATACGAGGAGTGAGATAAGATCAACAAAACTGGAAATAAACAACGCCCTTAATAAATATGAGGTCTCATTATTTTAGGATTGCACAGACATAATGGCATTTGAAAAGTGAGTCCTAATCCTCTTCTTGTCTACTTCTCAGGCTCAGAAAATAGCTACTTACCCTTCCTGTTCTCCAGCTATTACAGCATCCTGAAGAGCCCCACTGTCTCAAGCTTCTGTGTCCTTCAAAGGCCTGCCCACATCCTGGGTGCCTGGGCATCTCAGGTGCCTCTTCCTTCAGGAAGCCTTCCCTGATCCTCCCCCTCAGACAGGCTAGGTGCCTACTCTTGTGGGTTTCCATAGCACCTTCCATGAATTGCCAGGGAATTACTTGTTAATGTTTGTTCCCTCAAATAGACTCAATTAGCTGATTCATTCATCCAACACACAGCGGGTGCCAGGAGAACAAAACCCAGTCTAAAGTACTTCCTGCCCTGAGGCAGCTCACAGAGAGTTGGGGAGATAGGTTAGCACCCCAAAAACTATAGTCCTGTGTGAAAAGGAAGTTAACAGAGACACACATGGAACATTATGGCACCGTTCAGGAAGGGCCCTTGCCTGGCTCTGAGTTCAGGGCGGCATCAGGAAAGCTTCGTGGATGGAGAGACACTTGACCTGAGGCTCCAAAGATTAATGATGGTACGTGAGTGGGACAAAGTTAGGGCAGGTGGGGGATGATGCTACAGGCAGAGGAAACGGGGGTGCAAAGTTACTGTTAGAAGAGGAACAGGGAGCTTCATAAGGTCTGGACACTAGAGAGCAGGATGTGAGGCGCAACAGCAGAATGTGGAAGCCCTGATACAGCACTTGGAGGAGCAGACGCTCGAACACGTGGCATGGATACTTGCGTTGAAGGGATGTAAATGCGGCAGCAGCGAAGTCTTGTGAGGATGTTGGAAAGATCATTCTAGAAATGAGAAAGAGAGCAGAGTGGAAGAAAGTGAGCCTAAAGGCAGAGACTCTTCCTTTAAAGGGAAGGAAAAGATGAAGTTTCAAGCTGAAGACATGGCAGTGAAAGCAGGCTGGAAACCCTAGAGAGATTTACTTTAGATGGAGAAGGGACAGAACAGACACATTCATGGAGGAGGAAGAATTTGGCTCTGGGCACAAAGATTGCTAAGTGTCAAGGAAACTCCAAGAAGACAAGCCCTCTTGGGTATTGGGATCTAGAGATCAGGAAACCAGTCTAGACTGAGGAAGAGACTTGTGAGGTGTCTCTTGGCAGTTTAAAGCTAAAGGTAAGGTTTCCCGGGAAAAAATATGTCAGGTGTGAAAAGAAAAGAGCTGATGCTGGACTCCTGGGGAGCACTGGGTAAGAACAGACAGAAAAAAGAGATCCTGAAAGGAGGGCAGCAGGGAGACAGAAAGGCAAGATAAGTGTCCCAGAAACTAGGGACACAGAATCCAGAACAGGAAAGTGGTCCAGAGTGTCAAGAGCTGCGGCAGGGGTCAGACCTGAGAGGTCCCCAGTCCATTCAGTAACTAAGTGCTCAAAAGCTATGGTGCCCAAAGAAGCTCATGCAAACAGTGTGGGCAGAAGTCACACTGTAGATGGTGATGGAATGAGGATGGGGAAGGGGGACTGGAAGAACAGGGACTAGCAAGTAGATGCTACTATTTCTAGAAGCGTGGTGGTGCCTGGCCCAGTGTCTGGCCCTCAAGAAACACTTCAACACATAATGACTAAGTGAAAGTTGAAATGATTAACTGCTGACTAATGAACAAGGGAAGACTTCATCTGTTCTGGAATATTTTGTTGTTGCTGTTTGGTCGCTAAGTTGCGTCTGACTCTTTTGCGACCCCACGGACTGTAGCCCTCCAGGCTTCTGTCCATGGGATTTCCCAGGCAAGAATGCTGAAGTGAGCTGTCATTTTCTTCTCCAGGGGATCTTCCCAATCCAGGGATCAAACACGCATCTCCTGCATTGGCAGGCAGATTCTTTGCTAATGCGCCACTAGGGAAGCCCTCTGGGATATTCAGTAATTCATTTATTTAGCATCAAAAGAGATGGCATACAGGATAAACCCGAAAGGGAGAAGCAGGAGGCCTGGAAGGACGGTGAGGGCGCCCATACTGTGAGCGAAGGGGAGAATCCAGTGGGTGAGACCCAAGTACAAGGAAAGAGGCTGATATGCCCCAGAAGAAAAGCAGCTGGCAAGGGGAGCTAACCAGAGAAAGTGGACCAGTGGGATACAGACAGCATCACTGGATAAGACCATATGCAGGACAGCAAACGATGATGAGGAATAGCTTCGTAATCTAATGTCATTTACAGGGGAAAGTGGCAAATCCTTCCCACGGCCCTTTCAATCCCACCAAAAGACCTATCTGCTGAAACACCGCTCGTTGGTGCACTGAAGCACAGGCATCTTTTTTTCTGTCCTAAACTACACAAGGTATCGATCGAGGCAATAACACTTGAAGCTGTGTAAATTTAAGGAGGTGGAGAAATAGGAGATATTTAGAGCAGGACAGACAAGCATGGCCGACTTTGTGGAAATGGACCTGTTTTTGGAGAGTTCTCACAGCAACACTGGGATAATCATGCCCTTCCCCGAGTTGCTCTGAGAATTATAGGTGAAAACCCTTTCAAATTATTAAGGGCAAGCTGCTGTTATTATGACCGAGTCACTACAAAGCCCTTTGTGGGTATTAATGTACCTCTCTAGCTTGCACCCCTCACTTTGGACCCCCCCCCTTTCTCTCACCACCTCTGCCTGAGTTGTTTTTTTTTTAACTAAAGGTATCATATGTGCAAAGTGTCTGACAAGGCACTTGACATATGGGTGTGGGTGCCAATAAATGTTAACTGTGTTAACTTCCTCCCCTCCCCCATCTCCTTCTCTGTCTGCTGCTTCACTATAAGTGAACCCAGGGACCTTCGCCCCTTGCCATGAGCTTTCAGGAATGGTGACAGCTGGGTCTGGCTCTGGGCAAGTCACAACTTGGGGGCATAATCATAAAACTGATAAAGCTTAGGTTGTGAAGTCACCAGCTGAATCAGCAACATCTCCATTGCCCATCTCGCACAATCCTACAAGGCACGGAGGTAACTGATTTCCAGTTGACAGCAGCTGGGAGACCCGTCTTTCCACTGCAAAGCTTTGAGGCAGACTTCCAGTAGGCATTCATTCACTCGGTTGTTTGGAAGCCTGGCCTTTCAAACATGACCTCCGGGTCTACCCAGGAGACAGAAACCCAGGAATGTGGGCAAAGGTGGGAGGCAGAGAGGGCTTCGAGGGCAAGCGGTGAGAGGGGAGGTCTGTGGCCTTGACTTACGGGTCTCCAGGATGGGTCAGGAGCCCACCAACAAGTCCAGTGCCTTTTGGTGCTGCAGTTTGGTAGTTCGGCATCCTTCAACTGGGTATGAGCCTCTCGATTCCATCACAAGGCGCTCAAGTGTGTGTGCTTGGCATTCCTTGCAACCCCAGCCCACCGCCCAGGTCCCTCCCCATGAAAACATTATTGTTAACCTTGACCTTGCATCCCCAGCTCCTGACGCCCTGGCTCCACTAATCTCAGGCCTGCGAGCTGGGTATGACCGGAGGGGACCCTCCTGCCGCCAATCTGCAGAGGGCCGTGCCCCGGCCCAGGGGGTGGAGCAGCGGGCAGGCTCGCGGGCACTGAGGGCGGCCCAGCTCCGAGCCCTGCGGCTTTCGCCCGCGGGAGCGAGAGCCGGCTGTAGGCGGCTCCTTCCTGTACAAACTTTTCTGTCCTCTTCCTCCTCCCGCCCTCCCCGCCAGCTTCTCCGCGCCCGGCGTCCAGCCTTCTCCGCCCCTGTCGCTGCCTCGGGGTCGCCGCGCGCCGGGCAGCGCGGTCCGCGGCGCCGGCCCCACCCCGCGCTCCGGGCCGCCGGGAGCCGATGGCCGAGGCGGGCAGGAGCCCCGCGGAGCCCCCGGGAGAGCCGGCCGGGCAGGCGGCGGCCGAGGTGCCCGAGCCCGAGACGCCCGCCGGGCTGCCGGCGCCCGCCCTGCGCAGGCTGCCGGGGGACCCGAGCCCCCGCGGCCGCTCGCAGAGCGACCTGTCGTCCTGCTCGAGTCGGGGCCGCCCGCTCCGCGTCCACATCTCCGGATCAGGTGAGGGCCGCTCGGGCGCCGGGGGCCGGCGGAGGGCCGGCGCGGGCAGGTGGCTGCGATGGGGACGCGGCCAGCCCGGGGCGTCCGCGGGCACTGGCGGCGGGAGGAGAGGAGGGGATGGGGGGTCGGGGCTGGGCGAAGCTGAACCCCTCACCCTCCCAGCGGTCCCGTCCCCAGCCCCCTCCCCACCTTCTGTCGCTGCCCCTCTCCGGTACCCTCGGAGAGAGATGCTCCAACCCGGCTTCGGCCGGCGCGCGGGGTGGTCGCGTGTTTCTCCGGGGCGAGGTGCACCGCCGCGGTGCGGAGCGCTCCCTCCCGCGGGCTCGGCGGCTGTGCGGTTCCCGGGAGCACCGGCGACTCTGGTTCTTAGGCTTGTCCATCAGGAAGAGGAACCTTCTCTCGGCCTTCAGGGCGACTTTGGTCCCTCGGAAGGGTGCGGTCCTCTCACTTGGGGGGTGGGGGACGGCTAACATGTTACGGTTAACATGCAAGTCTTGAAAACCCTTCCAACTGCTCATGCTTCTGAAATAAAGCCTTCTTTGGGGGGAATTGCTGGTCAGAGGACCCGGGGTATAAACGCCCCCGCAGGTGTGGTCAGAGTTTGGTCGTGCTGTTGGATCACTGATCCTTCACCGTTTGACCAAGCCTGGAGCGGGCATCTCTGCGGTAAGCCCGGCCCGCCGGCTTGGGGGCATCTCCGGGCACCGGCCGGGCAGAACCCGGCTGAGGGCCGAGCTGTGTGTAACCTGGGGCAGATGACTTAACCTCGTCTCTCATATCTCGGTATTCAAAGTGGGAATCAGAGTGTGGAACTGCCACATGCGGAGGTTAGGGGGATTAAATAATTAATAATTTTTAAAATGCTTTGGAACAAAGCCTTATCCTAAGAACTGCAGAACGGTTTCTGAAAGTCCACCAGACTTGTTAAGTTTCTACAGATTGTTTTCTGGTTTGCAGTCTTGGGAGGACTGATCCTGAAACTACCAATGGTGCAGCGACAGGCAGATTTTATACACTGCCCTCCCCAAGGTTTCCCCACAGGCTCTGTGCTTGAGTGGGGGCAGAGGGGGTGGGGGTTAGCTGGGATGGGTAGGTAGGCCTTGAAGGGCTAAGGCAACCTGACTCCTAGGTGAAACCTAGTTTCCCCTTCAGCAAAGGCACATTTTCATGTTTCTGACTCCATTCCATGGGCCACCTACCTCTGTTTTCCATTCCACCGCTCCTTCTTATTCTTGTATTATTGTTTTTGCCCCACCATGTGTGTAGGTAGAAAACATCCAAAGTGTTGTTGATCTGACTTTGCAGATCACTTTGGATAAAGCCAGTCAGAATTCTTAAATTCAATTGGTGGGATGTAGGTTATGGGATGTGTTGTAAAGGGTCTTCTGCCAAATTCATGTTGTGGAAAATATTGAGCTGAATGTGTTTTTCCTCCTGGTTTTTATGTCTTGGCCAGACTGAACTTGACTCCTGGATAATCTTGATTGATTTTTTCTTTTGAACAAAGATTAACTGTTCAGATGACTGTATAAGAGGAAACTGAAAATGTGTCCAGTTGGTGACTGCAGATAAAATAAGCATAGTGTGTATCACCATTTTTCATTTTCATAGATGGAAATCAAGGCCTACACAGAAAAGAGGCAGTAAAAACCTTTTGGGGTTTCCCAGGTGGCTCAGTGGTAAAGGATCCACCTGCCAATGCAGGAGACTCAGGTTCAATTCCTGGGTCAGGAAGATCCCCTGGAGAAGGAAATGGCAACTCCAGTTTTCTTGCCTCGAAAATCCCATGAACAGAGGAGCCTAGCAGGCTACAGTCCATGGGATCCCAAAAGAGTTGGACATGACTTAGCAACTAAAAACAACAAAACAAGAACCTTTTAAATATGAGCGTGCAAAGTGCCCATCGTGTGAACTGTGGACTTCAATTTATAAAATTATTTTATCTCCAAGAGCTCTACACATTCTGTATGCTTTTAAAGGATATTAGGAAGTGACAGATTTCAGCTGCTTCATCCCCAGCTCCCCAGGAAGCTGACCCATGGTGTGAAAGAGTGAGCTTCTGTGTGAATTTCATCTTCAGCACTGAGCCTTGAATTTCTTTAAGAATAGGCTAAACACAATGAGGAGTTCCCTGCATTTCTTAAGAGTCAAAGACAAAATGAATGAGTTGGTCCCTCACTGACACATACAGCCAGACTAGATGGATGGAGAATCAGCTAGATGACAGAGCTGATAACTGACTTGTCTTAGAGGCGCAATAGGAAGGTTACAACCCCTTGTGATAACATCCCTTGACCCGAGGTAGGGTAGTTCAAATTCAAGGCCCTCCCCCAGAAGTTGTGGGCACACAAGTGGTCAGTGTCCCATGTGAGATCACATGTGGCCTGAAAGGAGCCAGCCCCAGACCAGCAGCATGGGCCTCATCTCAGGATCTTGGACCCCACCCCAGATATCCTTAACCTCAATCTGCATTTCACAAGGTCCCCAGGTTGTTAGAGGAGACCTAATATTTAAGAAGCATTTCTCTCTGCCACTGGTTTTCAAAGTTGGTTACACCTAGGAGTCCCTTGGAAAGTTAAGAAAGCAGAACCACAAGCAAAATCACAACAGAACAATTTATGGCTGTGTCCCAGCTCCAGGGATTCTGATTTAATTGGCATCAGGTGATTCTAGTGTAGCAGGGTCTGAGAAGAACCTATGGCCTGTATATCAGTATGGCTTGCTGCCGTGTGATACTGTGACAGGGCTTGGCCTGGGCGAGCGTGAGGCGGAAGAATTTGGTTTAATATCTTACCGGTATTCTTTGCTGCTACCCGCTTCCAGGGGGCTTTTCTCACTGCCTTTCTTTGTTTTTTGGCCACATCGTGTGGCATATGGGATCTCAGTTCTGCAACCAGGGATCAAACCTGTGACCCCTGCATTTAGCCCCTGGACCACCAGGGAAGTCTCTGTCTTGATCTCAGCTCAGTTCAGTTCAGTCGCTCAGTCTTGTCCGACTCTTTGTGACCCCATGGACTGCAGCACGCCAGGCTTCCCTGTCCGTCACCAACTCCTGGAGCCTACTCAAACTCATGTCCATCGCGTTGGTGATGCCACCCAACCATCTTATCCTCTGTTGTCCCCTTCTCCTCCTGATAATTGTCAGTAAGTTCTTCCTAAGGGTTCATTTCTCATAATGAGGGAACTGCCGGGGTGAGTCCTTGGTAGAGTGTTGAGCTGGTGGGGACTTTGCAGCGGTATGTGGCTGGGAGGGGCAGAGGAGGGCAGGGAGGGGAAGACTGCAAAGTGTCCTTCAAGGGCCATCAGAGAAGAACCTTATTCTGTCATTACCAGCCATCCTGCCTACCCCGTCTGTCACCCTACCTCCCAGCCCTGCTTCCTCCTGCTTTTCTCTCCATGAAACAATAATACAAACTTGAAACTCGAAAATTTTCCTACCATGCCGATAAAAGACAGTCCAATACAAACAACATTTTAAAAAGACCAGCTCTGCGCTTTCCCTCTGTTGACTCCGTGGAGATATCACAAGAGAATCCACTTTGTTTGTGCTTTATTACTGGATTCCTGTCCAAGCCTCAGTGGCTTGTATTTAACTTGTGATTGGAACAGTTGATTTTTTCGCATGATAAAGATGCATGTGCTTTGTCAGCAAAAACTCTAGTTTTCAATTTTAAAATCTACACAAAATGTGTGAAGAAAGCCATGTATTTTCAGATAAGTACACTTAAAGAATGTAACTGAAGTAACACTGGAATTGATACATCAGTCCTTTTACTGAGGTTAGGAAAACAGATTGTCTTTGCTTTATGGTTTTGAACTCACAGTTCTGGAATTCAACAAAAGTTTTGCATTTTAAAAATATAATATTGCTTTGTAAATAAAGTGGTGTTTTATCCATTTTTTAAAATGCCCAAAAAAGGGTTTCATGGTATATGGACAGATGTTCTTTTAATTTTTAGGTCAATCTTCTTCCGCATTGGAAACTTTAATATATTCAGTGGGTTCTGATGTTCTTTTCTGATAAGCCCAATAATTAGTAAGTAAAGAACCTTAGAACACAGCCCAGGGCTTATTCCTATTGTAAGCTCTTAGCCAGTGCTGACTGTGGACCTACTGTGTGCCAGGCACTGTACCCATCAGGATGTAGGAGTACCAAGAGGTATTTGGTACTTGGTCTTGGTGTTTGGTCTGCAAGTGATGACTTTTAGTCTTGCATGTAGGGCTGCATAGAACAAAGAACATTTGAGCCACCTCAAAAAGGGAGAGATGAGCAGATGGACCACTTTATCAGCTTGGTGTCCAGACACAGTCTCATCTCTTGCAGTACCTGATTCATTCCTCTGGCATCCCTACATCCTGGTGTATACAGGTGTGTGTGCATGTGTGCTAAGTTGTTTCAATTGTGTCTCTTTGTGACCCTATTGGGCTGTAGCTCCCCAGACCCCTCTGTCCATGGAATTTTCCAGGCAAGAATACTGGAGTGGGTTGCCATGCCCTCCTCCAGGGGATCTTCCCGACCCAGGGATCGAGGCCACGTCTCTCACGTCTCCTGCATTGGCAGGTGACTTCTTTACCACTAGCACCGCCTGGGAAAATGGCAGATCCAGTGTCTTTCTCTTAAGTCTTTTATCCCTGGTGTGTTCAGTGAGGAGTGGAGCGAGAAATCTAGCCAACCTGGATGTTCCGTGCACCCATACCTATGGCCACTGCCATGGGGTGCCGCTATCCAAGATGGGTTCTGCAGTTGATGGTCAGCTGTCCCACTGGGGGAGAAGTCCTTGTTATTCACACCTGGCCGGTGCCCCCAGAGTGCCTCCCACTGCCCTCTGAAGTTCTGACTCTTCCAGTTGGTGTTTGCATGCTCAGCCATTGTTTTCCAAAGCATAATGCCATGCTCAAGGGGCGGGGGGAGGGGGCGGTGTCCCAAGGGGACTCTTCGGCCCCATCACAGTGGACAATGGATGCCGGCTCACTTGCCATTCACATAACTCAAAGTGGTTTCTTTTACCAAACAAAGACCATTTGGCTCTGGGTACAATTTCTGTCCTTGCCTTCTCCCTGGAGAGTAAAGCCATCCTGCCGGGAAGGGCGGGGCAGACAAGACCCAGCCTGTGCCCTGGGCTCACCAAGCTGTGTGGCCCCGGGGCAGACCTGCGTGCCTCCACTGCCCCCAGGAAGGGAACCTTTTTCTTTGTTCAAGGGCGACAGGCTTCTCATCTCGCCAGGAGCTGACCACTGGTCAGGCTTCATCCCCAAATGGGCGTCTTTATCCAGTGCTCACAAAGACACCTTCTAAGCTGAGATGGGCCTGTACCCAAGGCTAGCACATTTTAGAACTCAGCATCACCTGTTAACCTGTAGCAGTGGCTGAAACACTAAAACTCATTCTCACCTGTTAGGTAAGAACATGCCTGTTAAGTCTGGTTGCACTAGACCTGAAGCTGAGACCAGAGAAGAACTGTCAGGAATGGCCCTGCGACCAGTTCCTCTTTCTCTTCTAGTGCCTCCTCAGGATGGCAGGGTCTCCCTGACACTCAGCTTCTCTCAGCCTCTCTGCTTCCTAATCTGAACAGGTTCTCCTCACGGGTGCTTCCTCATCTGTCCAGTTCCACAAACCTCGTGTCGTGGCTTCTACCTCCCCTCCCGCAACTTAACCTTTGCTTCCTCATAGCTCTCATCTGTATATTTACCTGGAAAAATTTCTTCATATTTTTTAGTTCAGATTCTCTAGAAAAGATCCACTGTCTGAAGTCATAGGTCATAGGTCACACAGAGGTCATGGAGCCATTGTCTGTCTTGATCCAACATCCACGCAAACTCGAGCCAGTGGTGGCCTGAAGGGTAAAGTGATTACATAGTGCCATCAAGGTCGCTTAGGAAGAACCAAGGCAGGGCAGTTTCCTTCCTTCATTCAATATTTCATTCATTCAAATATTTCCTGAGGCAAAGTCTGCTGTGTGCCATCACTGTTCTAGGCTCTGATTTCACACAGGTGAGCAGATACGGGCTCTGCGATTTGAGGAGTAAAATCGAAAGCAGAAAGGCTGTGGCCAGCTAGAGACAGCAGCAGGTCCAGTGGTCTAAGGCATTGTTACCAGCCATGTCTGTGCTCAAAGCATGACTGGTGATTTCATGACTGTTGTTCTTGTTTTCAGAGGAGGCACACAGAGTGAATTACCCCTAACCTGGGGAAGCTCTGGTGGGCATCAGTAGTTCAGTGGTAGCTCTGAGACTGTTGGCAAAGCTGTGGATTTGTTTTGAGCCCAGCCACTGCAGGGAGGACACTAGGTGAGGGGGGATAGCTTGATTTTTTTTCCTTCATTCATTTAGTCAACAAACAGCTAGTGGGCTAAACACAGAGGCTGCAAAGACATCCCTGAGGAAAAGTGAAGGGGAAGACAGTCAAATGAACTGCTGACTGCAGTGCCAAATAGTCTTAGCTATGACTTGCGCCTCTTGTGGGCCTTGGGGAGGACGTGGAAGACTCAGCTATTTGAAATGGCTTGAAGGAGGGTAATCAGGAAGGGCTTCCTGAAGGAGGTGAAACTTGTACTGTCTCCAGGCAAGAGAAGGAACAGGAAGGTGGAGCTGGGTGAACCAGAGGAGGAGTATTTGGGGAGAGGAAAGAGTAGAGAAAAAGCCCCAACGCCTGAGAGAAGCCGGCATCATCAGAAAACAGCAGTTCCTTCGGCTCTCAGTAGGGTCCTGGGGGAGAGAAGGGAGATTAGGGTCTGGGCCAAGTCTAGAGCACAAGAGCTTCCTGTGTCTGAATGCTTCCTGGGGAACACAGTTCTGGTGACATTTGTAAGGAATTTGCCGGCTCAATAGGGGGCGTGTTTGGAGCATATGCTGATATGGACTCTGAGGGACAGTGGTGGGGAAAACACAGCCAGCTGAGGTTTGAGACCCAGAATCACGGTTGTTATCTGTGTGATCTTGGTCAGCTTACTTCCCCTCCTTCCCCTGGGCTTCCTTATATCTGACCTGGAAATGATTAGTAATGGTGACACCCAGCTCATAGGGTTCATGGGAGGCTGACACTGTGAAGGTGCTTTTGAACTTTAAGTGCCGTGTAAGTGGTGGCACCTCGGGCCCGCATCCATTACAGGACTGACTGTGGTGCGTTAACTGCGCGTCCTTCCTCATGCTGTAACAGCGCTGAAAACAAACTATGTTTTATTGATTTTTTTCATTGTCAGTGCCAGGTATGGGGCCTGGTATACAGTAGGTGCTTACTAAATATTTATAGACTTATGCATGTATTCCCTAAAAGTCAGGCTATGGTTAGTTTTTTTTTTTTCTTTTTTTTTTAGGCAGGCCATGCATCATGTGGGATCTTAGTTCCCCAAGCAGGGATCAAACCTGAACCCCTTGCATTGGAAGTGTAGAGTCTTAACCACTGCACTGCCAGAGAAGTCCCTAAAAGTCAGTTCTTTTAACATGAAGTTGTAAATCAAAAAACTAGGCAAACTGATTTAAAAAAAATGAATGGAAAGTTGGATAGAAGTTATGATTCTCTAAGGTTTAGAACACGCACACAAAAACTCTAACTGGAGTGTTCTTTTTATTTATATTTAATTGGAGGATAATTGCTTTACAGTATTGTGTTGCTTTCTGCAGCCAGAGTGTTTTCGAAGAGCAGTTAGTGAGACACCTTGGGAGTATTGTGCAAACCTCACTTCACAACATCTTCATAGAAGTAGCTGGTGAAAGGGAGATGGTGAATGTCAGTCCCACCGTGGGCTGGTGCTGATGGAGCCCAAGTAAGCCAGATTCTGCAGCCTCCCTGCAGGGGGTTGCATGCAAGAGTGTGGGCAGGAGGGCTGAGAAGGAAGTGAACGCTCAGGCAAAACCAGTCCTGCATTATTTACACACGCTATCACGTTTTGTCTTTATAGCCACCCTGTGACATCATCATGTATCAGCTCCATTTTTTTTTTTTTTTTGCTGCACCACGTGATATGCAGGATCCTAGCTCCCCAACCAGGGATTGAACCTGTGCCCCATGCAGTGCAGCGAGGAGTCCTAACCGCTGGACCACCGGGAAAGTCCCTTAGCGCCACGTTTTAAATAACGAAACTGGTTTCAGAAAAATGGAGCAATCCACTCAAGTCCCGCAGGTAGAACTGATACATTTTGATGACCTCAAAGCTCACACTCTTGTCCTTACCGCATTAGACCTAGCGCACAGCCATCGCCCCTCAAAGAAAATGACTCATATGTACCCTCTACCACCAGGGAAGAAATCCAGTCACGTTTTACTCTATAAATACTATTCTGAGCAAGATCATCAGAATACCCATCTATTTCTATCAAAAGATCATTTTCAAGCCTCAGGCAGTTGTCTATTTTAAGGTCTACCCAACACTTCATGTTTCTAGTATAAACAACACATTTGAATTCACTCTAATGGGATTCTGGGATCCAGTATTTTCAGACAAGCGCGCTTCAGTTTTCATTACTGAGGCGTGATCTTTTAACCTAAAACTACTTAATCTTGGAGTCATGTGTTGAATTCATGCCCCATAGCCCTGTCTTGTCTCAAAGTACAAGTGTAGTTTCAGTTACAGCAAAGCTTAAGAAGAAAACCCTGAAGCAGCTTTAGTGTTTTTGAAATCCTCTACCGGTGACTCATTATCTTTGATCACACTAGCTGAAATTTGCACAGAGAAGTGGGTTGCATGGCTTGCCCTTAGAAGGGTTTCTGAGATCTAGCTCACTGTGTGACCTGTTGGCTAAAACTTGACATTTATATCCCTTACTTAGCAGTTTCTCGATGCCTCTGTGAAAGCTTGAGAAAAAGTAGCTATTGCTTATCCCTCGCAACAGGAAGAAACTTGTGACTTGAAGAAAAATGCATTATCTATCTCCAGAGCACAGGGCTATGACCAGGGCAGGAATATCATTGGTACGATGCTTCAGTTTTGATTGGCAGCTCACATATTTTAAGTATGTGACATATAATTTATGGCCATGATTCAGGCAGTTAGGGTTGGTCTGTAATCGTTTGCCTTCATGTATATTTTTACCTACCTGAATGGCATCTATTTTTTTTACAGGTCTCATTTAAATTAGATAATAATTAAGAAACCTAAACATCAGTAACAAACATTCATTAAACCCCTCTTCTCCAACCTACTGGGCTTTATAAATCTTAGATTTCTCTCCTCTGGATGAAGGGTACAGAAAGATGTGATGATGACAAAGAATGTGATTTATATTTAATAAATGTAACAGCACATAGCATGTGTGTCTTCACATGTGTATTGTCTTTTAGAATTGTCATCTGCTTATTCCGATTATGGAAGATATGCTTATTTCAATTAGGATTCTATTGGGGAAAACAAACTTTATGATTAAAATGTCTGATCCTTCATTTTATCCACTTGCCCCGATTACAGCACAATTGTAGCTGTTTCTAAAAATCATGAGACATAGATTTACTGTCAGTAAGGAAGATTTGAAGAGACATTCCATAAATGGCTGGGGTATTGACCACATTGTGGGAATACATTTATAATTTCCCAGTATGATTATTTTGGTGGGAATAACAATCATATGGATATCTAAGTCATTTGTATGACTTTATAGTAATACTTCATGCGAGGTCGTATGTGCTGACCAAGTAGGTCAATTTGGACCATTGATGTAGTGACTCTGAGGCTGAGGAAGTAAAGAAGACAACATGACATTTGTGGGAGAGATTCAGTAAGACATGAATGAGAGGGTTATTAAGTGACAGCAAGGATTTGCTCAAAATGAACAATTTTCCATAACCAGTAATAGAGACTCCCTTGTTTGAAAGAAGAGAGTTTCTGTTTGTATAAGGATGCAAGAGCTGTTCAAAACCAATAAACAGAGCTGTGTGTTGTGAAGACCTAGAACCAGCAACTGATAAGTTGCCTGTGGCCAAGAAGGGCACTGTTTATCTTTCCATCACTTTTTCTTTCTAAGGCTATATCTATCAATCAGTCTATCTATAATCTTTCTGTCCATTCATGCCTCCATCCATCCATGCATCCTCTCATACCAGATTTCTCTGCTGTTAGGAGCGCAGGTCTCCTCAGAGTGTCTACATTCACTTGTCTTCGGTAGAGCAGAGACTCCTCGATGTCCCTGGACCCCAATTTTGAATGCCCAGCCTTGGCCAGGTAGTCATTTGCATCACTAGCTGTATCCATCATGTGGGATGCACTCTTATAGGTATAGAGAGGGTGGTTCTTAGATTAGGGATGCTTAGAATGTGGAAACCCACCAACAGTTGCTTCAGTGTACCAGAAGACTAGCAAGGTGAGGAACTCCTAGGCTTCTGAGAAGCGACAGAGAAAAGCTAATGCCTGTTAAGGTCAGAAAGAAGAAAGAGTGCGGTGGATGGAGACCACGAGGGATCTTCCAGATTAGGAATAAGGGATTAACAGATGTAAGTACTATATATAAAATAGATAAGCAACAAGGATTCACTGTGTAGTACAAGAAAATATACTCAATATTTTGTAATAACCTATCATGGAATATCGGCTTCCCAGATGGCACTAGAGGTAAAGAGGTAAGACTCCATGCTTCCCATGCAGGGATGCTGGTTCAATCCCCGGTTAGTGAACTAAGATCCTCAAAGTGGGTAATTTTTCACTGGGATGATGTCTCTTTAGGCAGCTGACAAATTCCCAGAGGGCTGGGATCTGGAAAATGTCGGTGGCCTCAGGCGATGGCAAGATGGGAATACACTGGAGGCACCAGCAGCTGCCAGACAGCTGCAGAAGGAGAAAGAACGTGTTTTGAACTTTCTGATGCTGAAAAACCTACCTTGTGCATCACAGCACGTGTGTGAAAGCCCCCCCATCCCGCTTCCCGCTGTGGGCGTGGCTGCCGCGCCTGTCTTCACTTCTGCGCACGCGCACATCCTTCACCTGCTACTCTTGCTCCAGGTCGTCCCTTGATCACGTTTGCAGGCGCTCACCTGCGTTAAACTCTTAGTGAGGACGCGGGTGGAGGTGTCTTGATATGATTCAGCTAGTCCCTGGGCATCAGCAAGGAAGCTCTTAATCCCAGGCTGTGGTTTTTCAGCCATCCTCACTCGCTGCCCTGTTCATAGTCAACAGGTAACAAAGGCAGGCCCCGAACGATGACAAGTTAGAGTCCCAGTCAGCCCCGCCGGGAAGCATTTTCCTCTAGAAGGGGTGATGTTACAGTGCATCAGAGCTGTCACCGGTGTCCACATTTGACTTAGGTGACACGGTTACAGTATTCAATTTCTCAAACGTTGCTGTCCTTATGAATCACCGAGGATCTCGTTGAAATTCAGTCGGGGTGGAGATGAAGCTTCTGCGTTTTTTTTTTAAATAAACTTCCAAGTTTGGCTGACGCTGGTGGTCCATGAACCTCACTTTGAGAAGCAATCCTCTGTGGATAGCTTTCATTCAGCTTGTCAACTATTTTAAGGATGAATTCCTTCTAGCTTACAGTTCTATCCATGGAAACTTCTGTGCTGCTTGAAAGTCTGGTCTGGCTTTCCTGTTTGGTAAGCCTGACTATACATTATTTATAGTCGGTGGAAACGCTGAAAGATTTAGTGAGAGGGAGCCTTTAGAACTTCCACCCATGCAGGATATTTTGCTTCAAGACTGCCCATGTGAATTGGCTCCTGGAATTTTATCTGAAAAGGCTTTTTGTGTCTAGTGTCTAGCAGGTTTTCAGATAGTAGGATGAAGAGATGGAGATAGAATCTGTTTTGGGATGTAATTTTCATATAACACTGTATTAGTTTTAGGTGTACAACATAATGTTTGAGGTTTGTGTTGTGAAATGATTATTAGAAATTTGTACCCTTTGACCTAGAATTTTAAACTTTAATCCATAATTTTTTTTTAAACTTAACATTAGAACACTTTATTCACTGGATACTGAAGACCCAAATCCAGTTTTTGAAATGGCATTACCGCAAACATGAAAAGACAAGAGTGAAAGCTATTCAGCTTTTATATTTTCTTTTCCTTTATACTTTTTTCTTTCTTTTTTAAATTGAGGTATATTACATACGATGCTGTACAACAAAGTGAATGAGCTCTATATATACACATATTCCTTCTCTATTGGCCCTCCCATCCCCCACCCCATCCCTGCATCCACTTAGGTCATACTTTTGAAAAGCTTTACATCTGTGGAGTATTTTTCATTCCTCATTTCTCGGTCTCTGTGATGCCTTTTTTAGAGAAGAGGGAGGGGCTGAAGGGGACTGGAGCTGAGGTTATTGACTCCCAGACCAGGCTTCTCATGGACCTGAGAAGGAAGGGAGGCCTCAGGAACTTCTGCCCTGATGGGCTGGGAATGAACCTCCTTCTAAGGAGACTGCAGATACTAAGATGCACCTGAGAATCAGAATGTTGGTGGTGCCTCTGAGAATCATGAGGATGCTGGATAACAGGCAGATTTGAGGATGTGATAAGAAGATACATTGGGCTTGTCAACAGTGGTTGATATTACAATCCCGCAGAAAATACCCTTTAGAAATAAGAAGTACAACAGTGGGGAGAAGCTACAGCTCTAATGGAGAACTCTGATTTATGGTGTCTATCATGTGACAGTTTATTATTGCCTTGGATAATGCCCGAATTTTCCTATGTAACCACTTCATGCAACAAATATTTAACAAGATACATTTATTTATTTATTTGGCTGTGCTGGGTCTTAATTGTGGCACTCATGATCTTCGATCTTCATTGTAGTACATGGGATCTGTAGTTGCATCATGAGAATTCTTAGTTGTGGCATGTAGGATCAGCTTCCCCGATCAGGGATCAAACCCGGGCCATCTACATTGGGAGCACGAAGGCTTAGCCACTGGACCACCAGGTAAGTCCCAACAAATAATTAAAGCAACAAGTATGCAATAAACTCAAACTTCTCATGAGTTATAGACTGTCTCCCTTCTCTTTGGGTGCAGCATTTGCGTTCTAGACTTTTGTAATCTCCATACTGCCTCACTTACATTTGTTGCATATAAAGCACGTTTTGGAAGTGATAGATTATAGTTGGGACAACTTGTAGGCACCTAGAAATGGTGAGAAGCCAGTGAGTAGGATAAGGGAGAAAGATATGGTGAGGGAGGTTAGGAGTATTCAGATCACCCACGAGAACCTAAAGAATCAACACTTTAAAGACCTCATTGGATTGGAAGGAAGTTACTGGAATTCACAGTGAAAGCATCTTTCACTGAAGTTGGGGGAATGGAAACCCAGAGAGCCACAGAGGGAATTAGGTTGAAGGGTAGTTTCAAAACCAGGGCCACGGATGTAAATAAAGGGTGGGGCGTGGAGGAAATAACCACCCAAAGTAAAAGTCTTCCTATGAAGCAATACTCTTCACATGGTCCCTTTCAGTAATCACTCATTAGCATGGTAGTCAGTGCTCAGTTGTGTTCATTTATGGAGGATATAAAGCATGTAGAAGATGGTGCTTTATCAGGATTAAATACAATAAATCAAGACAAGTGTAGGGAGCATAGGAAGACTGGAATGATCTATGAGAGTCAGGCACCTGTCGCTTGCCAGGTATTTAAGGAGTGAAGTGAGCACTGTATTTAATCTAAATGCTTAAACATGCTTACCCCAACCTGGAAATGTGCCCTCAGGACTCAAGCCCATGCACATTTATTGATCCGTCAATGATGTTCAGCAGGTATTTACTGAGTCTTTACTATGTGCCAGTAAGAAAACAAAATCCAGCCCTTGGAGCCTATATTGCAGCGGGGAATGTTAAAGATAAACAAAGCCTGGTGCTGGTTAAAGTTGAAAGGACAGATTCTACTGCTGCTGCTGCTCCTAAGTCGATTCAGTCATGTCTGACTCTGTGCGACCCCATAGACGGCAGCCCACCAGGCTCCCACATCCCTGGCATTCTCCAGGCAAGAACACTGGAGTGGGTTGCCATTTCCTTCTCCAATACAGATTCTGAGCAGTGACATTCTAGGCAATGGGTAAAAGAGTTCAGGATGGACCGAACAACTTCACTTTGTACAGAGGTGGCTGGGTGTTTTAAAGCAGGGGTCCCCAGCCTCCCAGATCTAAGGCCTGATGATCTGAGGTGGATGTAATAATAATAGAAATAAAGTAACAATAAATGTAATGCACTTGAATCATCCCCAAACCATCACCCCCACCTCAGTCCATAAAAATCCTGTTTTCCATGAAATCAGTCTCTGGTGCCAAGATGGTTAGGGACTGCAGTTTTAAAGGAAGAGGAGGGAGCAAGGCGGGAGGTAGGCAGGGGCTTAGTAGAGTTGGGAAATTTAAAAAAAATCACAAAAAGTGTGAAAAAGGGGGATTGGTGCATGTGAAACCCATTAAGCCTTGTTTGCTGGTGCTTATTGCTTACCACTATGGAAGTTCCACTCTATTTCTATTTTTATTGCATCAGTTTCACCTCAAATCATCAGGCTTAGATCTGGGAGGTTAGGGAACCCTGCTTTAAAATACCCAGTCACCTCTGTGCAAAGTGGAGTTGAGTTCTGACCATCCTGGACTCTTTTCCCAACCACCTAGAATATTACTGCTCAGAATCTTCCCCCAACCAGAGGCTGGATGTCAGGGGGCCCTATGTTCAGATTGGTTGGAACAACTAGTAAATTCTTTGGCAGCCTTGAGTTTTCTTAGGCAGGCACTCTAAGGGGGACTAGGGTCGTCCTAGGGAAGCAGGGGCGTCCTTGAGCTGTTAGAAACTAGGTGAGCGTTTTTTCAAATATCTGTAGGCTAAGGTTGAGACCAAGTCAGGAAGAGGGTTCACAGGGGCCTGGCTAAAGTTTGATCTTGGAGAAAATCTTTGTCACTGGAGAGAGACAGTAAATGAAATAAATTTAAAAATAATAGAGGTGATAATAGGGACTTCCCTGGTGGTCCAGTGGTTAAGACTCCAAGCTCCCAATGTAGGGAGCGTAGGTTTGATCCCTGGTCAGGGAATTAGAACCTGCCTGTTGCGTGTTTTGAATCAAACCACATGCTGCAACTAGTTGGCCAGTGCAGCCAAATAGATGTTTTAAAAATCTACTCTCTTGGGAAAATAAAAAAGGTGGTGATAATAAAGTGCAGGAGGGACAGACAGGGAATACTAGGGTGGAGGTGTGGAGATTGCGACCTTAGTTATGATAGTCAAGACGAGCCTCACTGAGAAGGCACCAGCGGGGAACGCTCTGAGAAGTGATGGC